GGGAGAGAGAGAAAAGAGAGAGGTCTTGCTGGCTCTTGTAAGGACATCAGCTTTAGCTTCTAGCATTCTAGCTCCCATGACTTAATTATTCCTCGTGGCCCCATTTGATAGCACCATACTGGAAGGTAGAATTTCAACGCATCAATGTGGGGCCTGGTTTGGAGAAAAAGAAGGAACATGTCTATTTCAGAGCAATGAGGTAATACCTCTCAGCTTATTAAATGAGGCCAGAATAATCTTGGATCCAAAAACATAAAAAATTTAGTGTAACAAGAAAATATTACCATAAAACTACAAATTGGATACAAACATCCTCAGCAAAATGCTAGCAAGAACAGGTATTTGTAAGTACTCTCTCTCCCTCTTTCTCTCTTTCTCGCTTTCTCTCTCTCTTCACCAACTTAGATTTATCCCGAGAAAATAGAAACTCAGCAATTGAAAAGCAGCCTTAAAACACATTATATTAATGGAATAAAAAAACCCCACACATCAGTTCAGTAGATGCAGGAAATAGATTTTTATATAAAAACTTGAGAGATTCACTACAAACTTATTAGAAATAATAAATGTGTTCATCAAGATTTCACTATGCAAGAGTAATATTGAAAAATCATTTACATCTTCATGGACTTACAAAGAGCAATATGTAAATAAAATTTGGAAAACAATTTTCATCAAGGTAGTGTCATAGAGGCTAAAAAAAAATACAAATCAATGACACATCATTGGCAGTCCAAAACAGAAATCTGTACACTTATAATAAATTGATGGTTTTAGATTTTATTATTTTTATGTGAAAGGAATGCTTCCAGATAGAAGGAAAGACATAGAGTAAGAATGGTCTCCCACTGTAGGTCACTCCCCAAACAGCAGCAATGACCAAAGCAGAGTTGATTCTCAGCCAGGAGCTTCTTCCAGGTCCCTCACGTGGGTTCTGGGACCAAAAGACTTCTGTACGATTAAATATTGTCTATTCATGAAAATGAATGAAAAATGATTAAAAAAAAAAACCTACATCAGAGATGAAGCTTGAAGACATAAAGGAATGAAAGAAGTCCTTTAGTAAAGACTGCTAAATGATTCCATTCACATGGAAGTCCAGAATTTGGAATCCATAGAAACACACAGTGAGGCGGTGTTTGCTCAGGTCTGGAGTAAAACCAGGGTTTTGATGTGGGGAAAATGGGTGAAAGGAGATTCCTTTCTTAGGTAATGAAAATTTAATCTAAAAGTAATTAGGGTGACTGGAGCCTATATCCATGAACAGCTCAAAAATTATTTAGCTGTATTATTTTCAAAGATTTATTTTATTTTTATTAGAAAGTCAGATATACAGAGAAGGAGAGACAGAGAGGAAGATCTTCTGTCCGATAATTCATTCCCCAAGCAGACACAATGGGGCCCAAGCTGCCCCAATCTAAAGCCAAGAGCCTGGCGCCTCTCCAGGTCCCCCATGTGGTTGCAGGATCCCAAGGCTTCAGGCCATCCTTGACTTCTTTCCCAGGCCACAGGCAGGGTGCTGGATGGGAAGCAGGTGGGATTAGAATGGGTACCCATAGGGGATCCTGAGTGTGCAAGGCAAGGACTTTAGCTGCTAGGCTACCATGCCAGGCCCATAGTTATATGCATATTTTTTAAATCTTTATTTACTTGCTTGAAAGCAGCTACAGAGAGTGAAATAGAGGATAATAGATGGAAAATGATCTTCCATTTCCTGTTTTATTCCATCTGATGGAGATAAATCCAAGCAGGGGAGACAGATCCATGCATAATCTTTGTGGAAGGTGAGATCAACCAAAACGAGCCAGTTAGTGTAACTGGAGCCTTTGATGCGATCCCTTCTGCGCCCTGGAGTTAAGAATTTTCCCCAGGATAAATCAGAGCTTTCATTCATCTACAGCATATTTGCAACTCCATAAATACCTTACTGAGGATTATAAAAAGTTTGTATTTATTTTCATTTTGATTTGAGAGACAGAGAAAGGAATCTTCCACGTGCTGGCTCATTCGCCCCAAATCCCTGCTATAATTAGGGCTGGGCTATTAGAGCTACCAGACAGCAAAGTCGAAATGAAGCACAAACAGTTCTATTTTAAATATATATGATGTGAATCATTATGTTTCAATCATATCTACAGTTTGCAAACAACATATTCTAGACATTAAAAAACCTTGAGTGGCTTAAGTTCTAGATATCATATTGCAACAAGATGGTGTTTAAGAACGATGTAAGGGTTCAGTGTGGTGACTTGGTGGCTAAAGTCTTCGCCTTTAATGCACAGGGATGCTGTATGGGCACCTGTTCCAATCCTGGCAGCCCCGTTTCCCCTCTAGCTCCTTGCTTGCGGCCTGGGAAAGCAGTCGAAGATGGCCCAAAGCCTTGGGACCCTGTACCTACGTGGGAGACCTGGAAGAGGCTCTTGGCTCTTGGCTTCAGATTGGCTCAGCTCAGGCCATTGCAGATGATTCACTGAAAATCTTCCTCTCTATCTCACGTCCTCTCTGTATATCTGGCTTTGCAATACAAACAAATATAACATAGAAAAAAGAATGATGTAAGACAAGCATTAAACAAATATTCTCATTTTTATTCCTGTGTACCAATATATTTTGCACCTCCTATTTGGAGAATGAATCTGTAAAAATAATAGGCCTTTGATTTTAGTGATACATTGCCAAAGGCACAACAATTATTAAAATTTATGATTCATAATAAGAATTCACTTTGTCCACTTAATCTTCGAAGAAGGGATTCAAGAAAACACTTGCAGTTGTGTAGCAAAAGATGTGCTGCAAACCTCACTCACAGGTGCTTTGTACTTACTGCCTCTCAAGCTAATTCGTCAAGGAATTGTGGGAAAAAAGATTGCTTTTCATGGTTCAAAACTACTTCTTAATAACACAGCATGGCTGGCAGACCCAAAAATTCTACAGTATGGGCTGCTGGCGTGGTTTAACCTGTGTTGGATGTAGCAGAAGTGCTATCAGTGAACACACGCACACACACACACACACACACACACACACACACACACACCTGCTCTACACCTGTTCTAGACTTTGTATTCTGCGATTGGGAACTGCTTTTGTGTCTCCCTAAGACCCTGAGACTCCTTTTTGTAAGAAAAGATTCCAGCTGGAGAGAAATGTAACACACTGTGGTGGTTCTTGTTGAGCAAAGTTGTGTAGTTACAAGTAATGTCAGAGTCATTCATCTATAGAACAGAGATTATCAGTAACTAATCCAGCCTGAAATGTTCTCCCTCAAGGAAATATCCCTTTATGGAAAACCAGATTTGAGTTTGTAAAGGAAGTGGAGTGAGTATATCAATTTTCTAGACTCTTAGCCTTTCACTTTCTCTTTTTGAATAGTTGTTATAAAAAAATGTTAAAGAAATCTGGCCATGGGTCCAAAAACCAAAATACCCCTCTTTGTATATCCTGGAAATTAGCCCCCTATCGCCTATATCGTGTGCAAAGATCTTCTCCCAATCTGTGGGTTGCTTTTTTACTTTGTTGATTGTTTCCCTTGCTGTACAGAAGCTTCTTAGTTTGATGAGGTCCTCAATTTGTTTATTCTTTTCTACAACTGCTATTGCCTTTTGGTGTCCCATCTTAGAAAGTTTCGGAACCTACTCCTAGGTCTTGCAGTTATTTCCTACATTCCAGCAAGAGTTTAAGGTTTATGGGATGTAGGTTTAGTCTTTTATCATGAGATTGGATCTTAGTGTATGGTGATAGATGTGGTCTATCTTTTTGTTTCTTACAAGGCTAACAGCCAGTTGTCCCAACAACATTTACTAAAGAGGCCTTCCCACTTGCTTGATTGTCATGGGGCTTTTTGTGCAATGAATAATTGGCTGTAATTGTGTGGGGTGTCCCTTTGTGCTTCAATTCAATTCCATTGACTTCCGTTCTGTCTTTGTGCAGTACCATCTGTTTTGATAACCACTGCTCTAAAGTAATGTCCAGAGGTCGGAATTGTGAATCACCTGCTAAATCTTATTTTTCAGGATGTTATCAAGCTAAGCGTGTTTTTGTGTTTTCCAGTATGAACTCGTGAATCATTGTATCAATTCCTGAAGAATGTTTGGGCAATTTGATGGAATTGCCTTTGAAAATGTATATTGCTTGTTGTAGTAAACAATTTAATGAGATTGATTTGCTAACCATGAACACGGGATTTATTCCATCTTTTGAGGTTTTGTTCAATTTCCTTTTTAAATAGTTTGTATTTTTCCTTCTAATATGTCTCCTACGCTTTTGGTTAAATTTATGCCCAAATTACTTCAACATCTCTCTGTTAATTTTGAATTGGTAACCATCAAAACAACCAAAAACCAAACTAACAAACCACTCAATATGTGCACTGGAAATGGGCAACATTCACAAAGTAACAAGTCAAATGGCAAACAAACATATGAATAAAATGTTCCAGCTCCCTAAAGAATTAAGGGAAATCCAAATTAAAACATCATGAGTTACCACCTAACGAACCATAAGATTGCCCACATAAACAAGAACACCAACGACTCTATTCTGGCGAGGATGCGGGAAAAGGAACCCACTCCACTGCTGGTGGCCTGCAAAATTTGTACAGCTTTATGGAAAACATTCTGGAAACACTCAAACAACTCAAAATCTGCATACCATATGACCCAGCAATAGGCACGCCTAGGAATAAAACCAAAACCACCTGTTTTACGACAAACCACCTGCATCCCTATGTGTATTGCAGACAATCAGTAAATGCAAAAACAAGGAAGCAACCGAAATGCCCATCAGCAGAAGATTGGGATAAGAATCTTTGGTTCATCTACTCCATGAATACTACTCATCTATTAAAAAAAACAAAATGCAGTTCTTTGTGGCTAAATATGGGCACAACTGGAAACTATAAATTCTAAGGTAAATGAGTGAATCCCAAAAGATTAGATACCACATTTTGCCTTGATTTACCCTGTAATTTTTATGTTTGGTTTGTTGGTTATTTTCTGAAGCCTGTCATTGATACTGTCTCAACCCCCAGATGTTTCAGAAGAATGGAACTTGCTATTAATTTTAACATATTTTCTACCCATTAACTATGTCAATTAATTCCAAATGTTATATATGACACAGAGGCCTGTTGGGCTTTCACTGACCGGATCTCACTCTGTTATACCTATCTTCAGACCATAGAAGCTCCCCAAGAGGCCTCTGACTTATCTGGACATTAAATACTCTGAACTTTATTCTAGGCATTTTTTTGCGAAGCAATGATTCTCAACTGAACTGAACTAGTTGTTATTCAACAAGGTGGAGAATCCACCATGTGGGGGGAGGTTAATGGGAGGGTGGGGGAAACCCCCAGCGCCTATAAAACTGTACTACATAATACAATGTAAGCAACAATAAAAAAAAAAAAATAATAAAAAAAAAAAAAAAAAATACCCCTCTTATATTTTAAAGCAGTTGTACAGTCAAATGTAACTCTGGGATTCAGTGGTCCTCCTGTCCAGCCCCATTTTAAAATTATTTTTATTTAAAAGATTTATAGAGAGAAGGAGAGACGCAAGAGAGAAGGTTTTCCATCCGCTGGTGCATTCCCCCGAGAGGCCTCCATGGCCAAAGGCTGAGCTGATTTGAAGCGGGCGACCATGATCTCTTCCCACCTCCTACATCAGTTCAGGGTCCTAAGGATTTGGGCCATTCTATGATGCCTTCCCAGGTCACAGGCAGGGAGCTGCATGGGAAATAAAGCAGCTGGACATGAACTAGTGCCAATATGGGATGCTGGTGTCACAGGATGGAGCATTAGCCTATCAAGCCACAGTGTCGGGTCCTCCTGCCCCTTTCTGATCTGAAATTCTCAGTGTGTTTCAGGCATTCATTTAGGTAATTTTCTTTTTGCCATCTCTATCAGCAATTAAGTGTTGCAAGCTGTACACTGGCTCCGCGGACATTAAATAATATAACTCTATGGCCATAGATTCTAGCCATAAGTTTCCAATGAATTTAAGACATTTTGAAAACAAGTCACTGTTACATAATAATGACTTATTGGCCGTGAAGGCCTTGACTAACACAGTTAAGCTTAGATGAATCATCCATCACCTTTGGAAAAAGAGTATTTTCCCATGTTCTTAAATGATTAAACTGAGACAGAGAATTAAGGGCACTTGCTGACATCAGCATGGCAAGTCAGTTCAGAAAAGGAATTCAATGTTTTCTAGTTGCCTGCTTCAGAGACATTTTCATAATTGTACATGTTGTTCCTCCTCCCTCCCCTTTCATTAAGACAAAAAAATCAACCCATTTGTATGTATTTTTTAAAGTTTTTCAGAATGTTTGAATGCATGTGTTATGTGGCTAGTAAGGGTTGAACATTTTGAGATTAACTAGTTACTTCGGGTAAAAAGCTATATTCAACTCAGATATAGCACAAGTACGCTTGGCTTTAAAGCCATATGCCTTTACATCCATTTCTACATTTCTCCCTTTAGGGTGATTTGTGCAAAAAGGCAGGGAAAGTCATCATTACATTATGTTCTTTATGCCCTAATTCCTTTTGAGAAAACCTCCCTGTCCCCACCCACTTATCCATGGGTCATCGGAAGCGTTTCCAAATTAGAGGGGTTACACACAGTTTTCTATAGTGAGTGATCCATAGCAGGGGGTGGGGCAGAGGCTCACTTTCTCTCCTCTGCAGCCAATCCCAGGTGGCCATGCACATCCCTCTGAACAGGAAGTGCACTTCCCTGGATGGGCAGTTCTGGGGGAAAAATCAAGATTGTGAAGCGCATACTGTGGGTTGACCAGATGTTAAGTGAGATTGAGAGCAGACATAAAGTAGAAAAACTTAGGAAAGAATAAAAACTGAAACAAAAAAAAAATTCACAAAAGAGAGAGAAGACAGTAGGAATTAACTCTGAAGGTCTTTGGTCATGATCACAAATATCCATTTTTTGCTCTGTTTTTGAAAGCCAGGAAGGAACTTGCATAAAAGTGAAAGGTTTTTTATTTTATCAGTGATTTTGAAATTAAGACAAAAAGTATACAAAAGATTGCTGGAATTGTAGTGAATGTTGTGCCAATATGCGAGACACATTTCTGTGTGTAACTCTGAGTTAGGTATTGTTGGTGATGTATATAATTGTAGTACATTTTTTTTTCTCAATGAAACATCTAGAACATACTATATATGTGTAACTATACAGAAACTGTAAAACTGAACCAAGTTTTTGAATTGTTAGCATATCATATGAAACCTTTTGGGAAAAGTTAAACTTCTTTATATTCATGTTATCATAAGCATTGTTTTGGCATTTGGATGAGTTTATCAGTCAATATCCAATCAGTCCAAAATCTGTTTATTTCCACTAGGCGCAGTAGAGGAGTTACCTGCATGTCTTGCCAGACAATGTTGATAAAAGATGAAAAGCAGAACACATTTAAACTCACCCAGTCTCACACAGAGATGTTTACGACATCCCTCCCTAAAAGTCAGTATTGTCAAATGGTGATTTCAAAAATCCCTTTATCCAGTGAGCATCTATTGCCAATATCTATAGGGCGTTGGCTAAATGACTTCCAATGTCCACTGAGTAAATGAACACTTTTTAGCACTGAGTCTTCTGTAAGGATAGGAGAAAGCAGTCACTTCACAAGCAAACCAAAAACAGCACTTGTGCCTGGGAGAGGTGGACCGTGAGGGACCAAGGGTTCCGGATGGAGTCTCGCTAAGAGATGACTCCGGCAGTGGGGAGAAATGTCCTCGGGATCCACTATGCTAGCTCGCTGGCATCTCTCTCCAGCAGGCTACTTCATATGCTGCAGCAGCCTGTTCTGTTCCCCCAGACCTTGGTGTTGGTGGTCATGGGCCCACGCCAGCACAGGAGATAAACTCGTAGTCTCCACCAGTCAGCTGAACACAAGGTGCTGGGAGAAATGCTGTGACGCAGCGTCTAGCATGCTCAAGAATGCAGGTGCATGCTCTTCTAATGCTCACCGAGGTAGAAGCTTTCTTTGGAGCATCAAGGATGTGCGAATGGCACTCACTGGTACTTTCTTACAGATCTGGATATTTCCCTCCGCGCTCCGGTGTGAGATTCTGTGGGCTCTTAGATTTTCGCCAGCGTCCTTCAAGTGCTTCAATCCTGACAGTATTCATGTAGCAGTTTCATTGACGTGTCAGGCTCTTGTCTCCAAATAGCAAACTGTTTACCCTGAGGACACTTCACGAATGACTACAGATGAAGCTATGATAGGGTTATGTGTATACCAAGTCTAACATGTCGGGGGTGGTGTACTGGATGCCAACGTTTGAAATGTATGGATTTAATCTCTTGCTCTCATCAATATCTTTCATATCACTGAGGATCCAATTTAATGAATGCCAACAGATACAGTGATCTTCTGTGGAGGAAAGGGAAGGGGCTGGAGCCGTTCTCCCAGGATCCCTTGGGCGTTGCAGGCCTCCATTCTATCCAACTGTACTTGCTAAAGGTGAGTGTGCTTGCACAGCAGCCATGGCCCTGAGACCACTGCAAACTAGCACACACTGGGAGGCTTAAACGACAGCTTACTTTCCACATTTCTGGAGCTTGGGAATGTGTGATCAAGAGCCTCACAGCACCAGCCTCACTCGAATGGTTTTCTCTTGACTTGGAGGTGACCAGCGTCTCACGGTTGGCTCCCACCGCCTTTTCCTGTTCCCCAGGTCTCTTCTCTTAAGGATCCTAAGCTCATCACGGAGTCTTCACTCATGACTTGACTGAATCCTCGTTACTTCTCAGAGACCCCAGGTCCTCAGTAGTAGAAGTGTCAGTCATAAACATGAGGTCTGCCGCAGTGCCCTAATAGAAGCACCAGGGAGCAGTGTATCACTCTCCATTGTTCAAGCTGATTATTTCCCATGAGTCTATGCCATCTAGTTCAGTATATGAAAATTACAGGGTCCATTGCACCATGTGTGGAAGCCAAATTAAATGGGTTATATCTTCTTAGTTTATGTTGACTGCATGATGCATAGTAACTGACATAAAAATGCCATGTGACACATTGGGGCAACAAAAAAATATGTAGAGAAATATTTGAGAGTCAGAGAACAAGTAGTTCTAGAATCAGAAAATGAGCACTCCCAGGAAGGCGCTGCAGAACTGGAATAATTAGTATGCGCTTTGTATTCACCTCCCGTTCAGCAGGGAGTTGGCAACAGGCTTTTTTGGTATCTGTCGTACAGCAAAATACTGCAGGATATGACAAAAGTGACATGGTGTGTCAACAATATTCTTAGAATAGATAATCAATTTTCCATGTTAAGAAACTTACAATTTTGTTTATCATTGTAATATGTTACACATGTATTCTGGGATGCCAATAGGAATATTTGAAAATATAAGTGTAACACCCAAGTCAACCAAGCTAGAGAATTCGGTGTGTTACCGTTTCGTCCTTCACAGGGCGGCTTCTCTTTTCCCTTGTGTATTTGTATTTACCTACACACCTATTTATACGCATACATGGAAATGAGAGAAAATATACCCAGAATGCTATAATTGCATATTCTTATCTATCATAGATAATCTTCCAAATCAAAAAACAAATATTTTCAATGTTACATTCTATAACTGGTTACAGGGCATTTTAGATTGTTTTGGCATTTGTCTAACTGAAACAGATTTGGTGTGAAAATACTTATTCATGTAAATTTGAGCACTTGAACCATCATATCTTTGGAATAAACACCTAAAAGCTAACTTGCTATGTAAGCAAAGCCAATGTAAACCTGTTCAATAAATATGATGTTTTCACTGAAAATGGAGTTAAGGTTCATATTTCCATGATAGGAATTTCAGATTCAGTACACATTTGTGTTTCTATATGCAAAATGAAACATTTATCAGTTTGCTCGTCAATTCAGGAGAAGAAACATTAAGGTGCCCTGATAACCAATGGAGCTTAAGAATTCATCATGATAATTGACTGTTTGTTTTTCCTTATTTTCTGGAATTATCTTTCCATTGCCATTTGCCTATTGCAATATTTCGCTTTGACAGGTTTTTGCGAGATAAGTGTATATTTTTTCTTTCTCCTGTATAATTCTTAAATATTCTTTTTTATAGTAGAATGTTTAAAACATATACAAAGCGGAAAGGATACTGACTGAACACTGGGGAAGGAGCAGGGGCTCCTCAGCTGCCTCACCTAAGTCACCGTGTTAAATGCTTCTTCAGGTTTCTTTAGGTAAGGAAATCTTCAGA